TGCTGGGCAGATGCCACCTGCCCAGGCCTGGGTGGGTGTAGCTGAAAAAAGCCTTGCTCACACCCTTCCTTAGCCCACGGCCACTACAGACCATGCTGTCTCCAACCTCAATTTACCCACTAGTCACCCAAAATTGGCAAGCAATTCCTCCATCCCTTCCTGATGGGAAAGGCCTCAGTGGTCAGGGTTTGCTGGGCCCCCATGAGCACAGGGAAGGAGAGGTGGTATGCCCAGGGCTCCCCAACCCTGTCTGTCCCCTGCATGCTGTTGGCAGGAGGGCTCCCTGGAGTGCCAACTGGGAGGCAGTGGACAAGATAAAGTCCAAAGATGGTCCCAGCTCTCTCTCATCCATACAAGTTAAGACAAAGAGGCCCCAGTGTGGTCTCCCTCTAGGTGGGGCTGGTGGGGGAGGGGAGGACCCACCACCCACCCCATGTGACATATCTGCATCGGGCAAGGGTCAAACAGGCAATGTCCCCATTTTTCAGATGAGGAGGCCGCGAGGAACACAGCGTCCCCACTTGCTGGTGGGTGAGCAGGGGGTCCCAGGGCCCAGCCTTCCAGCCCCTCTCCCCACCACCCAGGCCCACCCCTGAAGATCAGTGCTCAGGACCCCAAGTGTCTAGCCGCCCGGAGCAAAGCTGACAGCACCACACCATTGAGAGAAGCTGGCAGAGGCTCCCAGAAAGGAGACGCAGTACTCAAACCTCTCTCCCAGACGCTCCATTACTGCCCAATCCTTAGAGGAAGCCGCAAGCCAGCTGTCCTGCTCACCGCAGCTCCCACCACGGGAGAGGGCTGCCAGGCACAGCTGCACTCAGGAGAGGGACCAGCCACTGTGTGCGACCAACAGCCCGAGTCGGGTCACTGACTCGCACACTCAGCCTTTCAGGAGGAGGACACACGCCCAGCCACGCACAGTCTCCTGGCTACGGGGCCGGGTTTGCCTCTCTCTGCCATTTCTCTGGGCGGAATCAGGGGATCCCAGCATTTTCCCTTCTCGGTCAGACTGCAGTTGGAGTCACAGGCTGCGATGAAGTCAGCAGACCCGCTGACCAGCTCAGCATCCTCGATGAGCAGCGGGCGGGCTGGACACGCCACTGCTCCTGTCTGAGCCAGCCTTTCCCTCGGCCACAGGAGGGTCCAACACCCAGCTCCCAGGACGACAGTGAGGAGAAAAGAGTGGTGACAGACCCAGCACCAGGGAGGAACTCAGGCCATCACATATTCGACACATGACCCAAAAACACGCTATCCGCCCACTGCCAGTGCCAGACCTCAAGGCCCACAGGCCACAGCACAGGGGCCAGCTGTCCTCCCTAATGGGCCACACATGGCCATGGCCATGGCCACAGACCAAGGATTGGGCCCTGCTTCACCCGTCTGTTTGGGTTTACCCCAAACCCCAAACGGCTGCAGAAGACAAAATACACTGCAGACCACTGGGGTGTGTGGTTTTCTTTTGAATTTCAAAAGAGCAATGTGAGAGTCTTAAAATATTTTAATTCATCCAGTAATTCCAGTGGAATCTACCCTAAAGAATTATTTCTGATAACGAAGCATGCAGACGGTGTCACAGTGGCCAAAACTAGAAATCACGATGTGTCCAACAAGAGAGAGACACCCTGTCATCATTCAAATGATGTCTCTCTCCTAAACAATGCGGGAAAGCAGTTAAATGCCAGTGGAAAGAATTGGACCCCAAATCACATGGGCAATGGCTGCTCCGTTTTAAAAACTGATGCACTGAAATAACATCAGGAGGGAGCACCTGGAAATACTCACAGCAGCAGGGCTCACGTGGAGGAAAAGGTGATTTCTTAATTTAACTCACACCATTTCCTGTTAGTTTTCACATAATCTACTTTGAGAATAGGGAGAAATCTTTCTTTTATAAAAAAAGGAGAATGGATTAAATCATTGCACCTTCACATTGCAGACCCGCCCGCTGATGTCACTGCCGCTCTTAATCCAAGGGAGGCAGAACGGTGGCAGGGAGGGCGGCTCAGACAGGCGGGCTCAGGCAGCCACCCGCTGCCCCCTTTTCCCAGCTCTGGTCTGGGGGCCTTTCCACAGGCCCAGCTCGCCCCGTCCCTGCAGTTACTCGGGATTCCAGGCTGCCTCCTGAAAGTCCCGGATAAGCCTCCCCTGCCCTGCCAGGCCCTGGCCACACACTCAGCTGCCCAAACCGAGCCCTGCGCCTTGCCAGGACATCTGGTCACCCGTGGGACAGAGCAGGAAAGAGTGACAGGTGGACCCTGGGCAGGTGGGGGCGGGGACAGGAGGGCAGGAGGCCCGGGAAAGGCCTGGCTCCCAGGGAGGACGCTCCCTCCCAGCAGCCTCAGGCAACTCGTGATGCCACCGGGCGCCTCTGAGCCCCGGCCTCTTGGAGATGAGCATGTAATTAAATTAATCCCAGGGTTTGCAGTAATGAGGAGAGGAGGGGGTGGGAAGCGTCATTTCCCGGCTTCTCTGCTTGGGAGGAAAATGAGGGCGCTGACTACAGAGGGGACTCCAGGCGGGGCTGGCCAAGGCGTCCCTTCACCCCTTTCCCTGGCCCCCCCTGGGCCCACTGGACAAATTTTGGGTGACTCAAAATGCAGCTTCCATCTGGGGGGCCGGGAGGAGGGACCTCCCTGCAACATTATTCTCACTTCCAGGAGCCAGAACATCAGCCCTTGCTTTGCCCCTTCTCGCAGACCCTCTGTGCACCCCACGGTTTGTGGGGGTCAACAGCCTGCCATCTGTGAGCCCCTCCCCACGGGCACTGTTTGACTCCAGCCCAGAAGCCCTGAGCTGGGTGCTGGCGCCAACCTTCAGACAACCCTTCCTTCTCAGGAGCTGCGAGGCCGGGCGCGGTCCCATCTCCCCTCCCGGCCTGGCTTCTCCCTGGCTAGGCAGTGTCGCCCTAGCCTACCTTCAGTCCAAACTGTAAGAACTGGGGGGCCAGAGGCCACGTTTGATCACCCCAGTAGCCACCTCCTCACCTAGCTCACCACTCAGCACCTAGTAAGTCCTCGGACAAAAACCTGAGGACCTGGCAGGAATTCATCC